ATCATCATCATCATCATCATCATCATCATCATCATCATCATCATCATCATCATTATCATTATCATGATGACAGACACTCCTCTGTTCATCTCTGTCATCATCACCACCACCAATAACATAATCAAAATTAATGATACATTTCACCTCTGTCACCAACATCAACAACATCATCACCACCACCACCAACATCAACAGCATCATTAACAACATCAACAAGATCATCACAACCACTACCACCACCACCACCACCACCACCACCACCACCGCGACCACCATCACCAACATCGACAACATCAAAAATAACACCATCAACAACAACATCAACAACACAAACGACACACAGACAAACATACACTCCACTGCACCCAGCCTACTGTGACAGTATCAGAGAAAGTGTTGTTTACCACACCCCGAGTGACTATGAAGTCTTAAGTCACGTTCACCATCACTACCAACATCAACAACAACATCATCACTACCAACATCAACAACAACGCAAACAACACATACACTCTATCGCACCCACCTTGCCGTGACAGTATCAGGGCAAGTGAAGTTTACAACTCCCCGGGTGAAGACAAAGTTTTAAGTCACCTTTGCCACCACCACAACCAACGCCACCAACAACATCATCAACACCATCATCAACACCATCATCAATCAACAACACCAACGACACAGACACACACTCCATCGCACCCAGCAAGTGTTGTTTGCAACACCCCGGATGACGATAAAGTCATAAGTCACGTTCACCACCACTACTAACATCAACAACATCATCAACACCATCATCAATCAACAACACCAACGACACACACTCCATCGCACCCAGCCTACTTTGACAGTATCAGAGCAAGTCTTAGTTTTGTTTGCAACACTCCGGGTGACGGCAAAGTCATAAGTCACGTTCACCACCACTACCAACATCAGCAACATCAACAACACCATCATCAACACCAACAATACAGACATACACGCACTCCATCGCACCCAGCCTACCATGATAGTATTAGAGCAAGTGTTGTTTACAGCACCCCGGGTGATGACAAAGTCTTAAGTCACGAGAAAAAAACCCACCCATCTCACACTCACAGGATGAGAGTCAATAGGCTGACGCGCCGCCTTATAGATAATATTATTATTATTATCATTATTATGTAAAATCTTATTTATCACGGCCTTAGAATTACAAAGTACTATCTGATCTTTTAGGCTGTTTCAGAGTTACTAAGACCATGAGGTCAGAAACTAATAAATGTTCTATCTGCTCCATATAGATACATCATTGTTCTATATTTTAAGTGTTTGCTGCCTTAAAATTACAAAGTTCTATCTGACAATTTGGGCCGTTTTGAGTTACTAAGACCATGGTTTCAGAAACTAAGTGTTCTATCTGCTACTGCTATAACAATATCGTAAGGTTATAATTTGGATCGTTTTTAAGATATCGACAGAATTGCTTTCGAAAAGTCTTGACGTTGGGAAACTCAAAATGTTTAACCTCAAAGTTCCCAAAACTGGTCACTGAGAAGATTGCGCTTTGTAATTACAGGTAGCCTGATATCAAGGAGGAAATAATAAACGGTTTCAGCGCTAGGTTCTATTAATTTAAATTTCGTGTGTGTGGGTGGGGGG